ACACGTATGTAGGAGAAATGATGCTGCCCACAGGTTGAGCCTCTGTTCTGGGTCCCCCAGGAAGAATGTGGGGGAATGGAAAGGGAGGGGGCAAAGTCACCTGAGCAGGATGAGGTGGTCTGGAATGTGAACTCCCTATCTGTACTTCTAGTAAGACCTGGGGCTGTCCTTAGGCTTGCTATCAATGTCTCTACTTCCACTAATAATATATAATTATTATTATACCAAGGAAAAAGCTGTATTTGTAAATGAGCACATTTCTCATTCAAAGACAGCTCCTGGACTTTGAACAGCAGGTTGGGGTGTGTGTGCCCTCGAATGTGCATTCGCACATGGAAATGGGATGTGTGCACATGTGTGAACTTAGGCTCTTAGAAGTTGGGGATAAAGTAGTCCCAGCTGAAGAGAGGATACCCTGGGGAGAATGTGGAAATGGCATCCTTGGAAGTGGGGCAGAGACCCCTGGCTGAAAGGGAGGGTGCCTTGGCTGCTGGGGGTGGGGGGGGAGGGCAGAGGTCACTGACTGAAGGGGAGAGTGCCTTGGCTGAGGAAGGGTGGCCTGGCTGCATTCGCACATGGAAATGGGATGTGTGCACATGTGTGAACTTAGGCTCTTGGAAGTTGGGGATAAAGTAGTCCTAGCTGAAGAGAGGATACCCTGGGGAGAATGTGGAAATGGCATCCTTGGCTGTGGGGCAGAGACCCCTGGCTGAAAGGGAGGGTGCCTTGGCTGCTGGGGGGTGTTGGGGGGAGAGGGCAGAGGTCACTGACTGAAGGGGAGGGTGCCTTGGCTGAGGAAGGGTGGCCTGGATGGGGAGAAGCAGTCCGATGGGAGAGGGCCACTGCAGAGGAGGAGGGAGTAAGGGGTCTCAGAAGGGGGAGAGGGTGGAAAGGGAGGCGTGATGAGGGGGAGGGTGTTGGCGTCATGCTGTTACTAGTTTGATTTATCCCTAATGAGTTCTCAGCACATGGCTGCTCCCGGCTCACTCCGGGGGCCAGCACGGCCTCCCGCGGGCTCGAGCCCGCCCGACTTCGCACCAACAGCCACCGCTCGCTCAGAAAAGAGCCAATTTCCACACTGCACAGTCCGCTTCACTCAAGGGAAATCACATTTCCCTGGGAGAGCCGCAGGCAGCGCCTCGCTCCCCAGCCTGGCCCGCTGCCACAGGGCACAGATGCGGAGGAGCTGGGGCGCCGCCCCTCCCCCGCCAGGCCTCTTCAAGCCCCAAGGTCTCAGCCTGGGCGCGATGCCCTAAGTCTCTTGAAGCTGCACCGCATCCAGGCCGCTCAGGAGTTGTTGGAGTTGTTCAGGGAAAGCTGCTCAGACTGGGGAGAGAGACCTGTGCTGCCTGCCTTCACCAGTAGAAGAAAGGCCAGACACCTGGTTCTGTTTGGGGAGAATTGAGATGCTGGATGAGGGGTGATGGCTGCTCTGTGCTTACATGTGTGAGCCTGCCTGGAGCCCTGGGGACAGGGGCCTGCCGTCCAGGAGGTGCCCATCCCAGGGGCTGTATCGCAGAAACCTCCAGTGAGTTAGGGCAAAGAGAAGAGGGAGCTGGATGCAGAACTCCTGGCCTTTTCTGAACCTACAAGGACCTCCAAGCCCTTCCCCGACAGCCACTTTCTTCTTCATGCATCCACATGCCTGAAGATGCCAAGGTCTGCCACAAAGAGGAACGGAACCACTGCTGGGAATTCAGCAGAGGAGAGAAGGGAAGGCTAAAGTAAAAGACGCAGAAGGAGAAAGAGGAGACCAGAACCCTGTGTGAGGGAGGGACCTTTCTCCCAGAATCACAGTGGTGCCTGGGCTCTGATGTCAGAGGATAATGATAGAGGAGCAATCAGCTCTGCCACAGAGTTCCGGAATGCTTTCTGATCCTAAAGGTTAAAGAGTGACTGCCAGTAGGTAGCCAGGTAGCATGAAGTCAAAGGCAAAGGAGAATCAGAAATTAACCTGTCATATTCATGCACTGTGGCCCCAGAGTTCTTTCTGCTGCCTCCGGGATCTTTTATTCAGGGCTATTACCAAGTGTGGAGTATGTGACAGTGCTCTAACTGACCCAGTAACCTTGGCCCCTCCACATGAAGGGAAAAGCACCTGAGGTCTTTCAAAAGCATTCCTGACATCCAGATTTCTGAGGCCTCATAACAGAATGCAGACGAGGCCTCTGAAAAGAGTTCTGACCATGCTCTGGCCTCCTCTGTGGACTCTCTGAGTGACCTTGATAAAGTCATCTATTGGCCTGTTTCCCCACGTGCAAAATAGGATCAGTGTTCAGAATCAGAGACAGAAGAGGATGTGAATGAACTTTAGTGAATGAAAGTAGGCCTTTGTGGGGCTGGAGCGATAGCTTAGCAGTTAAGAGCACTGGCTACTCTTGCAGAGGACCTGGGTTCCATTCCCAGCGCCCACATGGCAGCTGACAACCATCTGTAACTACAGTTCCAGGGGATCTGACTCCCTCTTCTGATCTCCACGGCCATTGTAAGACATGGGTGCACTTACACATATCCGGGCAATACACTCATACACATAAAATAAAAACAATAAATTTTAAGAAAAGAAAGTAGGCTTTTGTGTATGTGACAAGTTATTGTAAGCTTTGAGCTGAGAGAGGACTAGAGAGTGAGAGAGCAAGGACGGGCTGAAAAAGTAGCCACAGCCCCTGTCTCATTGGCTGATGGTGAGGAATAGTCCCCACTGATGGTGGACAGGGAGATCCCCAGTCCCCTCTTCCTGTGCCTGCCCAAAGTAACTGTTTCAAAGAATATTTACATTGATACACACAGGGGAAGATGACTGTATCTGGAAGAAAGAAAGTATCAGGAAGATGGGAGAGGGGAACTCTTCGCAGTCCTCTCACCCTCCCTGAGTCTCTATTTCAGGGTTTGTAGACTATGGTCATTAATTCTCTTCCTTGAACTTTAAGGTTGAGTGTGCGTCTGGCACACTGTGGGCAGAAAATACATTTTTCTTAGTAATAACTTAAGGCAAGAATTTTGGAGAAGTGAGGGCGAAAGGAGGGGCTTGGGGCCAACCATGGAGGGGGAATCCAAAAGGAAGGGCTTGGGGCTGGCCGTGGAGGGGGAACCCAAGCTTCCTCTCTGCCCCGACACCTTTCCTATTTGGAACTTGGGGACATGGACAAGAGAGTCCCATAGTAGTTCTGCCCACCTGGGACGCAGGCAGGGTTCCAGCTGCTCTGTCCTCCAGTAAGAAACTCATAGCTACTAGGTACTAGGTACTACATACTAAGAAGCAGGGAGGACTGGGGGTAGGTGGTAATGGATAGGGAGAGCTCTCCTTAAAGGTAAAGTCTTTTCACAGGGACAATGAAAGATTGTTCTAGGTGCTTTGGGAATATTCTGGACCCATGCTTTACTAGTAGTTCTTCTGCCAAGAAACTAGGGCAATCAACTCCCCTGCAGAGTGAATCAGTCCCCTCTACATGCAGCCACTCACAAATGCATCCCTCACTTTCCCAAGGTGGACATGGCCCTCCAGCTCAGCCCCATGTGTCTTCTGTCCTTGTTATATTCTTTCTTCATTGTGTCCCTCTCATATGCTACCAGACTTCTCCCAGCACCTGCCCCAGTGCAGTGGTACTTTGAATTGTCTCTTTCAGTCAACATAGAAATGTTTTCTCAGCCACCAAGAGGACCCTTGGTTTGACCTCCTGGATAGGTCTCCCAACATCTTCTTTGAGCTGAGTATCCTGTGATGACCAGCTGAGCTCAAAGAAAGGAAGGTGAGTTTTGCACCATGCCAAGACCCTTTGTCATTTGGGACATGAAGGGAAACTGCCAGGGGCACACAGTGCCTCTGGAGGAAGTTCATCTGTAAACACAAAGGATTACTGTGTAGGCTCTTGGGGATACCAAAATCTCAAAATGATTCTTGGGTGGGGTTATCTTAGGGCACTCATGAACCCAGAGGTTCAAAGCCATGAAAAGCCTCAGTTGCAATAGGCTTCAGATTCCTGTTGCTAAGCTCACAGCCAGAGGGAATCGTTTCAGGTCCCCTCTAAACAGATGGGTACAGGGTTTCTTCATGAGAGGGTTCCTCTCATGGTCTAACTAGGCTCATGCCACCTACTGCCCCATGAGCATTCCTAGTCTCTCCTTTGGGAAGAGACCTGAAGAAGTATTAGCAATCTTGTGTCTCTACTTTTGTTCTCCCAACCTTGGAGCCCCTGGACAGGGTGATGAACTTCCCCTTCCATCTGACTCAACCCTAGCTATCTTCCCAGGTATTTGCATTAACCCAGGTACCCTGCCTGCAGAGCCCTGCCCCTCACTTCATCTGGATCTCACATGGAGAGGAGGGTCTACATAAATGCCATGGAACCAAACACCTGTGAACAGCCTTAGTGGAAACTCCTCAATCCATCCTTGGGGCTAGAACCTTCCTTTTCTCCCTGAAAATGGCCTTATGGTATTAGTTGAAAGTGACTTAACATAAGAAGACTTGGTTGACTTCATGACTTCCTACTTTGGCCATTCCTTCTAAGCCTCAGTTTCCTCATATGTAAAATTGGGCTACTCTGAATTTAACTTTCTCAATGCCCTTCACAATACATCTGGCACAAAAGACGTTAGTCTTACCACTTCCTTCCTCCAGCACCATGAAGTCCCCAATTGCTGATTATGTGGGTCCCGGCTTGTAGCTATTCATGGATCTTTTGCCAACCCACCCCCCAATTCTCCAGCTTCTAGTCACTACCAACAGCAGTCTTATATATGGTGTGTATAGTTGGCACAGCATTGTGCCATGTGCTTGCTTATGATGGCGTCTACTTAGTGGATGAACTGAAAGCCTGGACCAATTGATTTATCCATCATTGGACACCTATTAAGGGCAAGGGGAGAAATTTAAGCCAGGGCCCCATGACATTTTAGATGTTTGTTCCAAGCTAAAGTGACTTTGCCAGTCACTTGGCTCTGAGCTCAAAGGAAACCCATCCCTAAGGTGTCTCTTTCCCCAAGTCAACCCAAAAGCCTGAGACCAAGAGTAATGGTTTATTGAGGCATGTGGTAATGGTGGGTTGTCTTTAAAAAAGAAAGAAGCATCAAGGAGAAAAGCCCAAATGGTAGGGAGACAATTCACTCAGAGGCCAAAGTCTGGGGGATGGAAAGAGGGAAGCTTGACCCAAACAGAGCTTCATTTACAGTATTTACAGTTAGGTGGTGTGGGGGGCAGGAGCTGGGGAGCCAGAGAGGGAATCTTGTTGCTGGTTTCAGAGGGGTGGCCTCGGGGTCTCTTCGGTGACTGCATGGGCTGGAGCTGCAGAAAGCACACTTGATTTGGCAGGAGCTGTTGAGAAGCAGACGCTGTTCCAAACATTCTGTCTTGCTTTGCTCTGTACTGAGCCTATGGCACTTCCCAAGGGATGCGGCACCCTAGAATTTCCATCTCCAGCTGTTTGGGGCTGGTCTACTGTTGGCAGCTGCCAAAGGGATGACCTGCTGGAGGAGAGGCTAGCGTGGTGGAAGTAGGCTCACAACAACAGGCAAAGTGAAGGTCAGCTGGCGTCCCAGGGAAGCTGCTCATTGACTAGCCCAGCTCTCTCTCATAATTGGGAGGGAGGGATAGGAAGAGTCAAGCAAGCTGAGCAGAAGGTATCAGGTGGTAGAGGCTGAAGGTGGTGACTCTCAAGTGATTAATGGGCACAGCCTTGGCCTTGGGCTGTAACTTGTGGGCCTGAAGGATTTGCTTACAGTCCACAATTGCTGGAATTGTGTTGATGACCATCATACAAGTGACCTTGTACACCCTCAAATGAATCCCCCTCAGAGATCTTCGTGATCCCTCTTCTCTCCTTCGGTGGGTACCAGCCTGGGCATGTTTCTCCTCCAATTCTGTTTCTTCTGAAATGAGATGATTTTTGTTCCCTGGGACTCCTGTCCCTCATTAGTAGAGTCTTGGATGACAGTTTGGCCTTCTCCAAGGTCATCCTGTCTTTCATGGTTCATTAAATTGACCACACAGGGAGTAGCCGCAATGATGGAATTGTGGTTATTTTTCATGTAATAAATAAAGATTCCTTTGTATGACTCTCTGGGGCCTAGACTCCAGGCTGAGTCCTCCTGTTGCCTGGTTGCTCCCACTGTCCCCATGGCAACTACAGATGGTCAAAGGCCGTGGCAGTGGTGGGCGGTGCACTTGGCCTTGATGTGGAGCTGTAATAATATGGGGAACCTGGACATGTTAAAAAAAGTAACAACACTGCTGGTCAGAGGGGAAGTTGCACCCCAGTTTTCCTCTGCATCTGCTGACCTTTAAGACAGCACAGGTTAATCATTTATCCCCCTGCCTATCTGATCATCAAAAATTAACTCCTCTCTAGTCCTGTTTCCTCCTTTCCTGGCCTCACCTTTGAGTTTCTGTCCAGAAAAAAAAATGTCTTGCCCCCCACCCCTCATGACTTCTTTGACCTTCATCACCCTTGCTCCATTTAGGGAGAAAGCAAGACAGGACACATATATTGAACTCCAAGAATTGAGCACAGTGGGGTCGGGGATCACTGATAGACTCTCTAGCCTTGCCCAAATAGTGGCGGGTCTGAGCATTTTCCCCTAAATACCCAGAAGAATTAGATTCCATGAGGGTCTGGACTTGAGGGACTCCCCAGCAGGCTTAAAATGGCAAGATCCTCCAAGCCCCACCTGCCTTTGTCCATTCTGGTTAAACTGAACAAGGAGGTAGCTTGGAGTTGAATGCATCTGCCCAACAGAATACAAATAAGTCCCCTTCCAGTAATTCCTGGAATTGCAAAGACACTAGGTCCAGCCAGTTTGCCAAGACACCTATGAAATTAGCCACCCTTGGAACCACTGTTTCTCTCTGGCTTAGGTTTGCCCTGACACTCTCAGGTTCACCCCTGAGGTCAGTTCTAATGGAATTCCTCACATTCTCCATTTGTAGGCTTGCTTTCCTGAAATATCTTCTCTCCTCAGTCCAAGGTCCTAGGGCAAGACAAGGGTAAAGAGAGGCCTCAAAGCTCAGTTTCTGAGGCTGGGTGTCATGGTTCATGCCTTTAATCCCAGTACTTGGGTGGCAGAGGCAGGCAGATCTCTGGTCTCTCAAGACCAGCCTGGTCTACATAGTGAGTGCCAGGCTAGCTGGGGCTACAGGGAGACCCTGTCTCAAAAAGACTAAGAAAGAAAAAAAGTTCAGTTTCAGAACATCAACCTCGAATGCTGTTCACTTCTCAAGACAATGAGGAACTGGATGGAACAAGGCTTTGGTGGTATGACTCATGATTATTTTTGACCTATTTGGATGACTGATGAGAGCCATAAGCTAGCACATTGGCCTCAGCTCCTGGGAAGGTGAGCAGCTGGCAGCGTTCAGGGAGCCCCCAAGCAGTGTCTCCTAATAAGATCACAAGTCTCTGCAGGCAGGACAGCCTCTTTTAAACTTTTCTTGAGTTCAACTCTGCCCTCCTCTGCCCTTGCCCTTCAAGGCTTCATCTGTGACTCACACAAAACAAAGCTTTAAGAGACATGGTTGTAGAGAACAGAGAGAGATGGAAGCCCCAGAATCTCTAGCCTCCTGTTCTCATCCCTAAAACCACCAGCTACCTGGCTCTTTGGCTGCTTTCTTCTATTACAAAGAGCACCCAGCTCTTTAGGCACACCACCTAACTTGGAGCTTCCCAGACCTCAGACAGCTTTTGCCCACACAAAACAAAGCTTTAAGAGACATGGTTGTAGAGAACAGAGAGAGATGGAAGCCCCAGAATCTCTAGCCTCCTGTTCTCATCCCTAAAACCACCAGCTACCTGGCTCTTTGGCTGCTTTCTTCTATTACAAAGAGCACCCAGCTCTTTAGGCACACCCCCTAACTTGGAGCTTCCCAGACCTCAGACAGCTTTTGCCCTGGCTTGGCCCCCCCCCCCCCCCATCCCAGGTGGATCAGAGGGCCTGGACTGCCTGCCCCCAGGGACTTACTCAGCAGGCTGGAGTTGGGGAAGCGCCAGGCCTCGCTGTAGGAGGAGTAGGGGGTGTGGCTGTAGGCATTGCCGGAGTATTCACTTCCTGTTGGAGGCACAAGTAAGAGGTCTGTGAGGTTGGTGGCACCAGTTTGGGAATGAGGGGAGATGGGTCAGCAGGACTGGCAGGGTTGAGCCCAGGAGTACAGGAAATGACCCAGGCAGGTAAAATCTCAACAGGGACAGTGGAGTTCAGAAGGTCCCTCCCTCGTCCCACAGTATGGCTCACTTTGGGCACTGCCCTGACAAACTGGAGCCCTCCAAAGAGCCCTGGGAGGCAGATGTCATGATCTCCATTTTCCAGATAAAGAAACCAAAGCTGTGATGCAGACACTCACACTGGTCAAAATCTGCTGCAGTGTGGGAGCTGTGCTGAGACTCTAAGAGTCAGGTCCTAACTCTGCTTTTCTTGCTGCTCTGACCTTCTGCAGAAGGGACTTTCCAGAGGAGCCCACGGCAGGGGCAGGCTAGTGGTCAGAGTCAGTGTATGAGTACTTTTTGCCTCTGGGTATATGTTTGGG